TAACTACGAGCGCCCGAGCCGGATTAAGTTTTTCGGCGGAAAACGCGCATTAGCTTAATAAACGCGGCGGTGTCCATAGACCGCGAAGTTGTGTTTCGGTAATTTACAACTACTTCGCTTGCACGGCACGTCGTTCGCCGTGACACACACACACACACACGTACTCGCGCACGCACACGGGCAGCGAGGTGCCGTGCATGCGCAACGAAATTGTAAGTTAACTACGTAATTCGTTTATACTAATTATCGACACCGCTGTCGCGTGCGACAACGGTCATTATTATCCGACGTTGTTTTTTTCGCGAAATCGGGTAATAAGGGCTAATCGAAAAATGACGCGTTAACTCGCCGAGCTTGTGTGCATTATCTGACGACGGCGTTATCGTGGCTAATGGAACGGTGAATAATTACTCGTAAGATATAGCCGTTAGGTTTGCGCAACCACGGGTTAATACCCCCGCGCGATGCTTCTCGCGCTAATGCGTCAAATGCGAATCTCCTCGAATCGCAACGGAAGGATCATTTCAACGCGAATTTGTCGCGATGTCGCAACCACCACGGTCTGCTTGTTGATATTCAATCGAAAATAAAGTATAATATACGGATCTATGAGAACTCGTTGTGTGTGTACGGTTTGATTATTAGCATTAATATTACTGCCATCAATAATAATTACATCGGGAAATATTTACATTAATAATATTTACATTAATAAATTAATTCACATGAGCTAGAAATTCGACTCCCTTCAACGAGCACGCGTTTCATTAGTTCATTGTTAATACCAACCAATCTTGTCTCTCCGTACACATATTTTACTAAATAGCTCGTTAATTATAAGCAGGAAGAAGGGGAAGGGGGATGAGACCGGCTGTCCACGTAGCCTCCCCGCTCTAAAAAATCTTTCTTCAGCCGTAACGAACAGAACACGAAACTTTTACGATCATTTATTTCACGAAGAGCGCATAAGTAACGCGGAATTGCATATCTTCATTATTTATATTGCATCAGATGCCATGTAATAGACAGTGAAAGGCTAAGCGAGCAGACGTGTAACGGGCGACGGGGATGGAACACGTCGGGACGGATTCATCTTCGTCGCGTCCATCGGGGAATAACCGATTTTTATCCCCGACGTATCTATATTTATGCACCGTGTCACAGTTACCGGCGACCGAAGCGCGATTCCGTCGACTCTGTCGCGCTTATTCGAGAAGTCGATACGACGACGATAGCAGCAGCAGGCAGCGAGTACCGCGGGGGAGGTACGGGTGAATGAGTTAACTGGCTAAGTAACCGCGCCCGGGCACTCTCTAATCACCGGAGGCACCGTGAGTGCTTTTAAATCTCCCTACCCTTCCGCAGTTACAGCCCCTCCATTCATATGGAGAGGCCTCTGTATTAGACCTTCCATTATTCTAATTATATCGCGCGGGGAGGGGAGCGGAACGACGACGCGGAAGGTGCTCGCGAAATGTATCAGTTAAAATAAGGTTAAGTGACGAGCGAAAAGAGAGCGGGGGTGGGTGAGGTCGCACCTCTCGTCGGCTTTTCCACTTCCCCCTTCCCCGGCTCGTTATAATCCCGGGCTATCGATAGAATAATTGCTTCGCCGCGGAAAAGATTCCGCTTCGTAAAGCCGAGAGCGGGAGACCGAGCGCGGTGGTCTCTCTCTCGCTCGCCCGAAACAGATTCACCCCCTCCCCCCCGAAGCGCGGTTTCCAGGCTGTTACGGGACGCTTGTGGTACGATAAGCCTCGCGAAAAATACGGGTCGTGCTTAATGGATTTGTTTTATTATTTCGCGCGTTTCATCGCGCGACTCCGATGTAACGCATTCGCGAGTGAGCGCGGGCGCGCGGGAAACGTTTCATATTGGATCTCGCGCTGTTTTAATCCGACAACGATAAAATATTGAAGCAAGATATGGAATTTATGTGCGGCGCACAGTGGATATGCGTATATGGACCTGGGCGAAAATAAATACGGTTCGGGGGAACGGCGTCATAAATCTGGCCGCGGTAAAACGCGCTTTGAACGTTTATTTCCGCGAATTTTAGCGCTCGCGCATGTCCTGTATTTAAAACGGCGAGAACCGCCGAGAATCGCCGAAGGAATCCCGGATTCGATTATGAAATATAATTCGGTCTCACTTCGCGGATGGTTCCGTCGAGACTCTTTGATTTTTGCTCCGATGTTCCGGTCGCCGTTCTCGACGGCACACACACACATACACACTCTCTCTCTCTCTCTCTCTCTCTCTCTCTGCTCACGCCCTTTTGAAGCGCCCGAAATAATATACCGCGCGACCCAGTTTCGCGATAATTTTCTAACGGATAAAGTCCGGAATCGCATAATTCAGCGGGCTCATTTGGAATCCGCTGAAAAATTCCATACGCAAATGCGCGATCCCTTATTTATTCACAAAAACTGCTTCTAATTTCCTCTTCGTAATGGCCCGAATTTGTCACCCGTTCACAATAAAAATCCCTAATTTGGCACTTTACACACACCGATCTTTGTACCGATGTACGTTTATACATTCGAGCGTGTATGAAACCTTTGGCAATACAGCTCATTGCTCACGTGACTTCCGCGCGTATATCTCGTTTACAGCTCTCGTTGTAAACATGCATCCTGCCATCGTACTTCGGGATTTACCGGTTCTCGCGACTGTTAAATGAAATTTATCCGAAGATAATCCATATATGCGCGTGCATACAAAGGATGCACTCAGCGTGCTCGCAAATTTTTATCGCGATACGCGAAACCCACACTCCCCTACTCGCGGGTATAATACACGTGGTATTTCGCCTGGGAGAGACTCGCATCGCCTCGCAACGTAATGCGATATCTAACGACTGCCGCTCCAAAAAGTCCCTGAAAGTGGTTTTATACCGCTCGCACACGATAGGGATTAATGATGGAATATCCAACAACGCGGGGCGGGGGCAGCTTGAATCCAGCCGCTCATAGGCGACGATACGAGAGAGAAAGAGAGAGAGAGAGAGAGAGAGAGTACGACGACGAGGGGAAGCAAGATGCCCGTCGTTCCGTGACCAACTGATAAAAAGCCATCTCTACACCCCCTCGTACACACACATCCGGCGCACAAAAGTTATGAGCTAAATCCCCGCGGTCCGCAGCCGTCGCAAAAATCTCTGGTATGATCGTCGTAGTAATCGTCGTCGTCGTTCGAAGGGATGACTTAACCTCGAGCCGATATGTCGTGACGGATTTCGAGCCTTGCGAGACGCCTTTGCGCAGCGAGCGGATCGGCAATTTCGGGGGTTCGCGGAGGAAGGAGGCGCGAACGACCTGGCGAATTTCGCGGGAGGCATACCGCTTGGGGCGGGAAGTAGCTCGGTGAAATCTCGCGAGGAAAAATTTGCAAAACGGACGATCGCTCTCTGGGCTCGCTGGGCAAATAGAGAAATGTAACTCCGCGGACTTCATTATTAATGCTCATAAACTGTACGAACGCTCACCGGCGCGGAACGTTCGCAGCAGTTATTTCGGCGTTTAATTGTATTAGCGCGGCGACGGCGATTTAACTGGACGATTTATCGCTCGCTCCGAGGGATTTATCGCGCCGTTACGCGCGAGCGAGGCCGTTCCTGTCGCGCGTACGTCACCGAGCGCTCGGATTTTCCCTGTGACAATGTCATCCGGGACAGCCTTTGTCGCGTCATCGGTCATACCGATCGCCCTTGTCGTCGTTCTTATTGCGAGGGCCACTCAAACCGAAGCGTTCGTGGCGCGCGCAAATTTCGCCAAAATTTCCAGATACATTTCTACGTGTATCCGGAGCTTGCGAAAGTTTGTCGGATCGTCTCGTTGGCTCGAAAAATGACCTCCTTTCACTCACGTGGAATCAATCATCGGAAAGATGGCTGAAAATGGTAGAGAACTATGGCACGATAGTTTGATTAAATATTATCGTTTCACACTGAGAGAAATTATAGTTAACTTCGGCCACAGGCCGATTATACCCTTTTGTAATTTTAATCATAAAAATAGTAATAGAGATATGCGTGCAAAATGCGTGCAAAACTATTAATATCACAGGCATTATAGTACACTTTTAACCCCAAATATTTCACTGCTTAGTTACAGATTTTTTTTTCTCAGTGCATATATTATTAATCAAAGAAATATCGCTACCAATGCGACCAACTTTTCCAAGCAGTCAATATATTTTTTATGTTCTTCGTGACCGAAGAATATATAATAAAAAAATATACATGGGCTTGTTACGCACGCATATCCACTCGCGCACGCACGCATGTGTAAGCAGCCAGAGGCGGCTTCAGCCGATGCTTCGGCCCCTCCGCTCGTTAAACACACGGCTTTAAGAACATAAGCCAACATTTGCTCGGTTCTAATCGCTGCGTCTAATCCACACTTTCCACATAACTGCGTAAACTCAGCCGGCAGACGTCGGGTATACCCCGATACAATGTCGGGCGCGCGTCGCGGCGCCCCGGACACGTAACGGGTTCTAAAATTGTTTGAATAGTTTGTTAAACGTGTTACTGGCTCGCGCGTACGCGATACGCGCGGTGGACATCTCCCTCCCTCTCTCTCTCTCTTTCTCTCTCCGGCTCTCTCCGCTCTTGGATCAATTATGAGGGAGGCGTTTCCGTCGAAACGCGCGTCAGACGCGTCGCCACCGCCGTTTCGCGACCGCGTGCGCCGAATGAACGCAATTAGCCATTAATCGAGTGACTGAGATATCACCGGAGTTCCGGGGTTTAATTTCAAAGTCGCGTTACCGAGGCGGGTAAAACGGGATCGCGTCGCGTTAATTCATTACCGCGCGGACCCACATCGGCCGTCTGATAATTATAAATGACGAGTTACGTTGACAAATTACCTTGACAAATCGCGGTGATTCAACATTATCCGTTGGGGGGGTGGGATATTAGAAAGGGAGCGACGTCGCGAGATCCAAGCCGACGACAGCAGCAGCCACCTTTCTCTCTCCCCCCTCCCCCCAAAATGGAGCAGCCTACGTGCCACCAGGATAAGAAGTTTCAATCCAGTTGGGGATTGTTTCCTTCCTCGAGCGAGCCGACGAGCCCCGTGAATCCTCACGATCGATCCGTCCTCGCGAGCAGGATGTGCAGCCACTTCGGGCTGCAGCCAGACGACGACGTAGACGAGAGCGGTATCGTTAGCGGCTTGCCGGAATTCGAGTGCGGCGTGTACGCGAATTCCTGCACGGACGCGTGTTCTTGCTGTCCCCGGGAAGCCCCGGCACGAGATCACGCGAACCAGGAGGCGAGGCCGCACAGTTGCTACCGGGAGGTGTGGCCGCACAAGGCGGTTTACCAGAAAATCAAAGAGAGAGTGGAGGACGCCGTCAAAGTAATTTCCCCCTCCTCGTCCTTTTTCTCCGGGATTAATTAGCGGGATTAGTGGAAGGGTGTCTGGAACAGCGGGACGACGCGCGACGTAGTTGGGTCGCCTTTGCGTCACGATACCCGCGCGGAATAATATCGCACTCGCCTCGGTATTACGGCCATTAACACGCGCACGCATCGACTTCGCAGAGGCGCAAGATATTCCTCATACGGGGCGAGCTGCCAAGGCTGAAGGAGGCGCTCGAGGCGCGGGGCTGGGTGCAGAAGTACGAGTCGACTAAAACGAGAATGCTGCCATACGGTTAGATTGTTTGCGGACGATAAAGTTAATGCGCACCGCCGGCGGAGAGAGAGAGAGAGAGAGAGAGAGAGAGAGAGAATTTGTTGCCGCGGCTGAATTCGAACATTACCGCCGCCGCCGTCGTGAGGGTGGCGGGGGGAGATGAAATATCGTCGCTAATGTCTACCATTTTCTGTGTGCTCCGACGATTAGGTGCTGTGACTAATTTAGAAACTCGCTCCTTGAGCGATATCACGCGAGCAGACGGGACCCTGAACGAGAGGGCGGTGATTCTCGCCCTTCTGCGAGACAGGCAGCCCGACTTCATATGGGACTGCAGGAACGATTTTGTCCAGTGGCGGCGCGGATTGGGAAGTGACGTTCTGCTCAACAGATACCAGAGGCCCTCCGTTTACACCTCGAAGGTACGAAGACCCGAGATGAAATTACTTTCTCTTATCACAACGAAACGTATACGAACATAAGAATGACGCAATCCTGAATCAAGTCTCCCCTGTCCTCGGATCGAGTCTCCCGGAATAAGGGACGCTTGATATACACTTTCGATTGTCTCGTAAAAATATCAATTACTCCGGGAATTATTATTACCTTTCAACTCCGCCGATGTGGTTAGATACACCGTTCAAATACCTGCGATACAGCAGAGAAGAGTGAGATAAGCATCGGATGTGCTGTGATTTCCCTTTCATTTTCGAGATTTTCGAAGGAAATCAAAAGGGAGGATCAAGTGTTCCCCGTACCTAAATATCAATCATACGCTTGTTCTGACGACGTGAATCGAAAATATCATTCCGCTCGGCTCTTGATCGCGGCCGACTCGCACTTTTTTCCGTCTCTGCCTCGCAATAAAGGCGGAATCGCTGCGGAACGTCGTCCGCCCAGCGGCGCTCGATAAGTAAAACCAAATCGCTGCACGTGTACAGCTCGGGATGGCGCGTTCTTTGGAGGACGCATATTGGCTGTACGAGGAGAATGTGTCCGACGTCCTGTTCCCGCGCAGCTACAACCCCGCCAGGGACCAACGAGCCTTCCTGGAGGACTTTCGGCGGACCGCGGCCGCGGGTCTGCTCAAATGGTTCGTCCACGGGATGAGCGTCGCCGAAGAGCCGTCGATCCTCGCGACCGATTCTAAACGACGAGCGATCCCGATCGCCAGGCTCGACTTCGCGGTGGACCGTTGCGAGGAGTTCGTTGCCGTCGCGACGCACGAGGATATCGACGTGGTGGCGGGCGAACAGCCGACGGAGGAAGAGTGGAACGTTTTACTGGAGGATTACACGGCGGCGCTTCACCACGAAGCCGGAATCGAGAGCTCGTCAGAGGGTGCCGTCCGGGTAGAGAATTATGTGCTTGTTCTAATTCCCGATAACGCTAATAGACGCACGGGACTAATTAATTAACGCGCGCTCACATGCTGCGAATATATTAATTGATTTAATATCAGGTTATTACGGAGAAATCCCCTCGCCCTCCTCCCGCCGCTTCTCACCCGAAACATTATTAATAACATCGTATATATTTGCACGCGAATCGCTCGATCGCGATTCTCAGCGCGCGTTTATATGTTCGGCGTAGAGTAATTGATCCATTGAGCGCGATAAAATGATCCGAGATCGATTAATTTCCAGGAGTTTAACAATTGCGCGTTTTAATAGTGATCTGTTGTACTTCTTGCGGCGTATGCGATTTTTGTTGTCGCGCGAAATGGCGAGGAAGGTAAAGAGAGAGAGAGAGGGAGGGAACGGGTTTCATCGCTTCGTGCGTAAGGTTTCAATTAAATCAGCAGCCAGTGGTTAATAGCGAGCCGAGCGTCGTCGGAATTTCTCGGTATTGATGCTGCGAGTCTCCCGTGTATTTTTCCTTCTACTTTGAACGGTTGGCGCTTTTTCGCACGAAACTCGCGCTCTCTCGCTAAAGAGAGAGAGAGAGAGAGAGAGGATGCGGACGCTCTTCTTTAAGTTGGAAACGTATCACGTGCTGAACGATCGATTGGGTTAGAGTGGCGTGTTTATTTCGCGCTCGCCAGATTCGCGCTAATAATAGAAGCGATTACGAGGTAGCGTAGGCAACAAAACCAAACTGTGTTAATTATTCAAGGGGGCACGAAAACATCCTTACATTAAACATGTTCCCGAGATGCTGCCGCGCGATACCATTAACTCCTTAACTGATGAAAGAAAATTAAAGGGTTCGCGATAACGGCGAACGATAAGTACTCGCGCTCTGCGAGTACAGGGGAAAAGGCGTATGAGATTCTCAAATGTTTATTTATCGCATAGCAGACAGCCTCTTGCCTCTAGGCGTTCTTTTCTCCCATGCGTCGAGGAACACCTCGTCGAGTTTCACATCGTCTTTTCTGCGATTAGGAATTTTCATTACGGCCTTTCAGGTTGCGTTTGATCAATTAAGGTCCCGTAAAGAAAAAAAGAAAGAAAAAGAAGAAAACGTCACGAGAGAAGAGGAAAGAGAGAGAGAGAGAGAGAGAGATGCCTTAGCTCGTTACGACCCCGAAAGGGGTTGCCGTGTCGCACGTAAATCAGACGCATCGTGCTTATCGCAGCCTCTATTTAGGTTACCGCCGGAAGCACTTCGGTCAAAGGTAGTGCGCAATTGACATGTATCTCGAGTTGTCCGCGTAGCAGGCGGCAAACTTCACACGCGACCCAAACCCTTTTCTAGCGGGATGGGTCGCGCCGCGAGAAGACAACTTCTTGAAATTCTCTCTTCTCCCTCCCTCCCTCTCTCTCTCTCTCTCTTTCTTTCCTCGATCCCCGATCGAGACGTCTCGCGATTTCATTAAATTAATTTCACCCCGTCGGCCGTCGAAATGTGGCCCCGACCGGTCGGGATCCAATTCGCCGGCGGATGAATTTATTCGAACTTTCCGGAATTAAAGTCGATCCAGCAGTGACGCGACGACGGCGTCGCCGCGGCGAAACCTGATATTCCCGCATAAATCGATATCAATATCACCCGCCGCAGAGATGCCTCGAGAACGCCGTCGCGACTTTGGAGAAATTAAAGACGGTCGACCCGCAGTACGCGATGAGCGGCATGAGAGGCATCTGGATCCTGAAGCCCAGCGACCTGTGCTGCGGCAATGGCATCGTTATATCTCACGATCTCACGGACATTCTGAATCGGGTCGCGGAGAAACCGAAGGACTACTACATCGTGCAAAAATACATTGGTACGGTTATATTGATAAAAAAAGAAGGACACCCGAAAAGAGTATGTTGAGCCTGTGTCTGTCGGTGATGATCGAGCTTTTCGTATTTCAGAGTGTCCTCTGTTGGTCAAAGAGACCAAGTTCGATATAAGATTGTGGTACCTGGTAACGAGCACTTTCCCTCTGACGATATGGATTTTCAAGTAATACGCGTCGTATTTCACCCGAGTCGAAATTTCAGTTTTTCGTTAACCCCGCAAATTCCGTCGAATCTGAGAGAGATCAATGAAGAATCTCGAGATGTAACATCGCGCAAGTTGTTATTCCACTTGGACACCACAAATGGTTATTTATCGCCGCTTTCTCCGCATTGAGTTTTAAATAGACTCTCACTTCAGAATTATTTAATATTGTTTATGTCAATATTTTATCTGCATTTAATCTTTATTCGGCTTTCAACCATCACTGTATTAATCATATAACTCGCTTGGTTGCAAATTAGAGATTTAACATAAGTAAATATTAAATAATCCTATACAGATTTATTCTCAATTCGTTCCTCAGTCTCTCTTTTTCATCCTCTTGACTTTGGAAGTCTCGACGGGATTGGAATTTCTTAAAAGAGGTAATGAGGAAGAAGATGAAGAAGAAAGGCAAAGATAACATTTGTGCGTCCAATGATGTTGTGTTTATCAATAGAGATTTTAATTTGGACTATGTACACAGAATAATAAGGCTAAATGGAAATGAAAAGAAAACCGTTAGCAAACGTAAAGATCGGACTCGCGTCCCAAGCAGCATTGTTATATGTAAAAATCAGCATTTGCAAGATTTATACTAAATTCTGAAACCGCTATTCATAGTTGTATATTATCATCTTTGACCGTAATTAATTAATTATAGATTCGTATTCACGGACTGTTCAGCTACTTTGATCGATATATCTCGTATGAAATAACGTGATAAGTAACAGGTGCAAATTACAACGAATAATCGGAGATTTATGAAGCTATAATTTCTTGTTAAATGATGGTGGATTATGAATGCTATGGCCTAAATTTCGACTCGGCTATATCTTCAGTGAGTGCTTTTCCTTCAAGTTGACACAAGCGTCATTTTGTCTTTGTTCCATATTCAATGAACAACAAAGATAGGATGACGCTTGTGTCGGCTTGTGTCACTAAATGGAAAGCACCTATTCTCGGTAAGTTTGTCAAGCATCCTCTTGCAACGGAAACCTCTTGCATAATAAATGATTTAACACACCTTGAAAATACATGATGCATCGCTGCTCGCGTCCTGGCGTAATACTGCATCCTCCGACCTGGTTTCTTGACTCAACGTTTTGCCTATTCCCTTGTGACACTAACACTGGCACTGACACTCCCGCAGATACGATTCGATTTAAGATACGTGCATTAAATAACATGATGTCGATCAGAGCTTTATTAACTATTTCGAAAAGACCGACGAAATACTTTAGTCACCCGACAGGAATAATAACGTACACACACATTCGGCAGATAAAGATTACAACATATTTTTTTTTATGAATTTCTCAACGCAGTTCGTATCCAATAGAAAAATATATCTCTTGATAATTGGAAAACAAATAATAAATAATTAAAAACTAATCTCCCTATTGAACACGAGATGTGTTGCGAAACTCATTGAGAAAGATGTTGCGACCTTTAATCTATCGACCATATGTATGCGCGCGCGTATGTGTGTCGATTGTAATCCGTAACGCACGTGTCGTTCGCTGACTGTCAACTGTCAGAAAAATACACGGCGCGTGAAGGTAAGTTTGACCCCGCCTTGAAGGTCTGTGATGTTTTGAATGTTTCATCATTGTTGTCACTCAGTCGTTTACCGATGAAAAGGCAACAACAGTTGGCGATTGCCGCGGGTTGACGTAATATTTTGGTACTCTCAAGTGTCGCATATTTTTTCATGATCGGGTGCAACATTACATCTCATGCAAAATATTTGTTTGGCTTTTTGAAATATTTAATCAGATCCCCCTTGGTATCGCGTTAATTGACATATGTTTTTCCGATCGTATTTATGCAAATATCAGTGTCACGAGCTAATATCCGGATTATCGGAACAGCCAGAAAGTCGAATCGAAAAGCTAGGAAGGAGGACGCCACGACATGTGTGTATGTGTGTATATGTATATGTGTGTGAATACTGATGCAATATATACTTTCAAATGTAAAAATACGTATATTCCATACATACACATTTCCAGCGCCAATGGAAAAAATAAATAGTAAAAAGATTATGAAGAAAAAATATTCATTATTTCACTTCCATCCATTAATCATATCAGTCCAGTAATTCATATTAAATTATTTAATATTTGCTTATTGTACATATTTTATCTGCATTTAAATAAACTGCGCAATTAATACATTGCTTATTGGAAAAACTTTAGAATAAAGATCAACTGCAGGTAGAATATTGAGATAATCGAGTATTAAATCGAGTATTAAATGATTTTGAAGTAAGTCCCTTTTTAAAGAATAATTCAACACGAGGAAAATGGCATTAAATAACGATTTATTGCACAAAAATATAATTTATATAGCATCTCCCAAGTCTGATGGAATTTGTAGGGTCAATGTGGAACTAAAATTTCGACTCGGAAGCGCTCTTCTTTCATATTACTCTTGCAAGTCGCAAACTTCGCGGAACTTGTCGAAAAATTCTCACCTGGTTTATCCAAGTGAGAGAATCCAACCGACGCGAATAATAACGCACGTATATGAGAGACATCATTGTAACTAATATTCATTACTTTTATGCATATATAATACGTCGTATCATACCAGCTTCGTTTCACTCGGCCGAGAATAGCTCAGACCACCGGGAACGATCCAATTTCTGCAATTCGCGCTTATAATCGCGTCTCTCTCGTTCCCCATCCAGAGAAGCGCTCCTCCGCTTCAGCTCGCAGCCGTACACCTTCTCGACCTACCACGAGTCGATCCACATTTGCAACACCGCCATTCAGGAGAAGTACGACGACGAGCGGAGGCGCAGGCAGCGTCGCAGGCAGGACGGCCCCGAGGAGCCCGCCAACAGATCGCTGCGCGATCAAGGATGGGACTGCGAGAAGCTGAACGAATATTTGAAGTAATCTCCCTCTCTCTCTTTCCCTGTTACGCTAGACGTTTCGATTATCCATTCGTCACACCGGCTGGCCGTCCGTGGTCTCCCCGGGGGCATTCCGAGGAAATTGATAGGACCCGTGTGCAAATACGCCTTCTTCGGCGCTTCCAAGAGAAGCTCGGCGCGTTCCGTCCTAGGACGCTCGGCGGCCGTTTCTCGCCGGCGACGATAATGGCTTAGCCGGCTCTCTTCCCGTTCCCTCGGATGACAAATCGAATGGGATTTTTCGATGACGCGACGTATATTCGACGGCCGAGTAATTGCGAATAAAGCGGAAATATATTATCCGCGGTGTTACCCGCGCTGAATGGGGAGCGAGTCTCGGTGTGCCGGTGGTCGATCGCGCGGCGTCGCGCGCGCCACTATCACTCGGAACAGAGCTCGTGCTGGGAACGTGCCCGGGAATGCATCGAGCCATCGAGAGCTGCGTCGTCGCCGTTCCATTTCGACGATAATGACTTCGCCGCGGTTATCTTTGTCACCGCGGCGGAGCCAGATGGCGTCTTAATGACGGTCGGATATCGGGAATTAGAGCGCCTCGATAGAGACCGGTTAAACGGAAATGTTTCATTATTCCTGCGTATATACGCGTGTCCTCGATGGAAACTCGCGAGAGAGAGAGAAAGAGAGAGTGTATTATTATGTAATATTGAGTATTAGTCACCCATTCTATAATACCTCTTACGTATTTGTATCTCGTATTGGAGCACAATTTTCTCTAACGCACACTTTTGATTTTAACACCGGAAATACCGAGTCATTTTTTATTGTTCCTATTTTTCCGATTAATACCCCGTTTCTTGCGCAAATACAGGATAGGATTCAGGGATTTTTTGACTTTTCATCATCAATCATTCAACACGCCCCGTGCCGGGCCGTTTTTACGCCCCGGATTTTAATTCACGCCGCGCGTACCGAAAACGGCGAACAATGTGGAAATTGATAAATTTGTTAAAATTACTTGGTACATGGTTTCTCGCGAATTGGACATTTATTTATTTACTATAAAAGTGAATATTCAAAGTATAAAATGCACAGTAGAGCAAAACAAATAAGTTTATTTTAAAATGAAATAATTGAAGAATAACAAACGAGATATTGTAAGATAAAAAAGAACACATTAAAGAAACTATGGTTTATTGTGAAACAAATGAAATGTAACTGTTTTGAACATTTTGCGTTTATAATCGAACGGTACGATGTATTTTATTCAAACAATCTAAACAAAGGTACGGCTCGTTGACGCGATCCTCGCAAAATATTGTTCCCTGTTTTTTTTAATTCTAGCATCTTTGGTGCCCAAATTTCTAACATTTTATCTAGCGTAACAACTGAACATTCATGGCAACGCGTGTACAGAAATCAGACCGTAACAACTGAAAGCTCAGTACATCGCGCATAAGCACCATATAGCACATATTATTACAAGTGTCTAATATTTTTTACTCGTGCAAGAAAACAAATTGCTCCGTTGAATTAAAGAAAATATTTTCTGTGTAGTGTAAACATATATGTGTTGAAAAATTCTGTTGCGGTATATATTTCATTTATAAGTTTCTCGTAAGAAAATGTTCGAAGAAAAGTGAACCAACCAACTCCCCTATATACTCCCCCCCAAAAAGCATATGAACAACATACCCCTGAGACCATTTAGGTACCCGACCATCCCTGATACTGTCGTTTTCACCCATAGTCCGTTCGAAAAGTTTATTTTTCGACAGATATCAATCAGCTGAGACCACACGCAAATAGCTTCCCGGCACAGCATGTGATCGCGTGAAATATGAAAAACTCCGGTATTTTCAGTCGCGAGCTAATCGAAGCGCGCGGCAACGCGCATGGTCGTTCGAAACCATAGTTTATTTATACAATAATTACATTTCGGTGAAATACGATCTCTCGTTTTGATTATTGATGTTGAATGGATCTTTCCATTAGACGTTCCACCGCAAATGTTTTAATTTACCGCGCAACCAAAACTTTTCTCGGCGAGGGGAATATTTTTTTCAATGCGTACACACAATGCGTTTCATTTGAATTCCTCTTGTTTCGGTGCAATTAAAAAGGAGGGACTTGAATCACCTTTGTCTACGCGTGTAACGCGCGTCTCGTAGTTATACGAGCGAAACTGAACCGCAGTTAACCGTTATTGACGTGACGTTGAGTACGACTGCGGCTCTTAAACATACGAAACAAAATATTTCGCGACACCACGTTTGCGACCAATATGGATTCTACTGTGTTGGAATTTATACGGTAATATCACCGGTTTGTAACGTGTAACGCGTTATGCAACTCCATTATTTTTAATCAACTCAATGTGTGTATGTGTGTGAGAGAGAGAGAGAGAGAAAGAATCGACATTTTGGAGTTGAACTATCCGCGGCACTGTGTCGCGCTTAAGAGTAGACGAAATATATTCGATCCCACGCAAAGCGTGATTCCGCGAAAAAACGGCGATTGGCCGAATTTTCGGATATCGAAATAAACGGCTTCCCTCTTTCCAGATCGATAGGCCACAGGGGCGAGCCGTATCACGATCTGATTTACCCGAAGATGGCACAGGCCGTTGTCATGATGATGCTGACCGCGCAGGATCACATGGAGCGGCGGCGTAGCAGCTTCGAACTTTACGGCGCCGACTTCGTGGTCGCCGAGGATCTGTCGGTCTGGCTGATCGAGATCAACACGAACCCCCGCATGCACCCGCCCAGTTCCAGGATCACGAAGCGCCTCTATTCCAGCGTGCTCGAGAGTCTGGTGAAAGGTGAGAGAGCGTGGCTGAGGGTGCGAAAGTTATCAAGTGCCGCGTTCGGCGGAAAGTTCTTCCGCCGATTGGTGAACAGGGGTGTGGACATGGGTGGGAGAAAGTGGACGGCCGGGTTGTGCTATCGACATCTTGTCTCGCAGCAAGCTTCGGAAATCGCGAGAATATCGGGTAGCGACCGCGGTCTGCGATTAGACGTTACACGTCATCCCGGACTGGCCGACCGACCCGAGACGATACTCTCTCTCTCTCTCTCTCTCTTCCTCTCCGCCTCGGTTTCGCAGGGGGTGATAACGGCGGCCATAATTCGCGGCGACGTAGCGCCGATAAGCGCCACGTGCCCTACGTGATGGATTTACGCGAGGAATTAACCGCGTTAGCGAGATTTCCCGGGTGCAATTATCGAGCCTGAAATGGCCAAACACCTGATTGCGTCGATTATATCTTTTGTGTGCTCTCGAGATTACGTCTCGTCTCGGAACGTGATGCGGAAGACTTGGGCGCAGGTGTGTGCGTAGTTGAATCGACATAATTCCGGTATTAAATCAGCAACGCCTCCCGTTGCTTTCTACATCTTAAGGCTTTCACAAACGATAATTTCCTATTATTAGAAAATCGTGGAGCTCGCTTCCCGTGCATATTGAGATATTACCCAAGAAGAATGAAGGTAGCGCAGAGATACAAAAAATATCGCGTGCCGCCTCGCCTGACGGCGAAACATCAAAGCGAGCTTACCGTTAGGAGAATCCTACGAGTATTTTTGCGATGTAGAATTTGATTTTGTTAGCACGGACGCACCGTGCCCGTGAAATAATGAAATTCTTTTGAGCAAGTAAGGCTATCGACAAATTTAAACAATGAGGCTTTGTGAGTCACGGCGTTGCATAATGAGCTCGCCCGAATTCCTGAATATTCCAGTCTGCAGTTTGAAGATAATTCTATGCGCCCCCGATCCTTTGTCCGTACGTACGCGCGGCTTTTTATTATTGAATCTCATATCCTACCTTCCCTGGAGAGAAAGGCTGATATTCTCGGTCCGTTTATATCGAATAATAAAACCGTATTCTGATTTACCACGTCTCCCTTGATTAATATTGAAATGTTCAATCAACCTGTCAAAACGGGCGCGATTACATTGAGCGTAAATGTTTAAGTCAATGTTTTCTGTAAACGCATCGGTACACTAGTTATCGTAATAACAACGAATGTCGCGAAAACTTGGTCAGTTTAAATCGACTCTGTAATGATAACACGTAAACGTATGGGGAACATTCTCTTTTGACATTTATCGAATATTTTCCACCGCACGCAATTTTAATACGTCTGGGATAAATTAAAAATGTTGTTTTGCCTGTATATATTATGAGAAAATCGATCATGAGAAAATCCAATTGTGAGAAAAGTCACGTGACATTCAGTAACTTTTCCGCGATGTGCGGAATCTGTTACAAGTGAAATTAGAATTAGATATTGAAAGATCTGTAAAAACAATATATTGTAAGTCATAGTGAGATATGAAGATACAAAAAATTCCAACTTTCTGTACCGACATATTGCTCTCTAAAAGGCAATCAGTGTGTTATCACTGAGAAGCAGTCAATATGTGATCACGGTTGTAAGTATAGCATTGCAAATCAGTAAAACTTCGCTACAAAAGTCGGTTAATAGCAACAACTGCGATAATTATGTAATTGTAGGGACCGATCTCAATAATTTTGAGATATGTTGTCGAAGACATCTCCAAATTATTGAGATCGAAGAATAGAAATCTAACTGCAGAAACAGTGAAAAATTATTTCTTGCTATTATTTCTTACTTCTCTTTTGTTATCTTAATCCCACTCTTAAGATATTGCCAATGATTTTGCCTGTAGATATTCTTAATTATGTTTCATTGATTTAATTTATATCGTATGTGAAACACACGTTTATGAGACTCGAACTCAAAATCTCTCATTTTCGAGACTGCTATCATATAAACTGCATCAAATACGACACATAGTCGAATGCATATATGATATATACATATATTTTTACTACATTTTGCTATAGGACGCGTAATAGCGATTTTCACTGAATCTTTCATTGGCCAAAATCAATGAAGTATTAGAGGAAAATCCCGAGTGGAAGTTTCCACTAAAAAACAGTGAATACTTACTGATTATCGGTCAAATATTGTTTCTCTGATTCGCTTAGTGATATTTTCACTGATTCAATTTCAGAGAGTATACACAACAATTTCTCTTATCTTCCTTGTCTCTTTCCCACTCCCCCATCTCTCTCTCTCCCTCTCTCTCTCTCTCTTTCTCTCCACAATAAATGTAAATTTGCACAAAGGGATTTAAGAAAAAGGACTGCCGCGGTAGCTCCACAGTTTCTCTTTCTCTCTCGCAATCTGCTAATCTACTTTCCGCAAACACCATCACCGCGATCTAGTTAAGAGCGATTTGGTAGCGCGGCGCACGTGAAAACCTCTCGATCGCTTTGCCGATGCTGCTTGCAGTGATAATGGACGTGCCGGTGGACGCTTGCGCCGACACGGGTGGCTTCAGTCTGCTCTACAAGCAGTACATAGACGACTTCCAACCTTACCTCGGTCCCTGCCTCTTCGTGGCCGGCAAGTCGATGACACTGCACGAGCAGCCGCGGAAGCCGGCGAAAGAAAGAAGGACAAACATTTGCGGTCCCTGGAGCAAGCAGCGTGCAAAGACCGCCCCACCCATGATCTCACGCTCGAGAGAGCCGAACGTGGTCGACCTTATTGACCACTTGAACCCGGCGCGATGCACCGCGGCCAATTGACGCGCGACGCCTTTCTCGTCGAGGGACAAACAAGAGCGAGTCGTCAGATGTGATTTCTACGGTCCCTTCGATTTCTTCGATGATATCGCCCCAACAGCCGAATATTACGTCCGGTCCCGCAATACGTGGAGTGAGCCTTTCAGTCTTTCATACCCATCAAAGGAACACGACACTTTGCATACTTAACATAGAACTAAATAGACTTAACGTAGAACTGAGACTTCGTCTCGGGTTAGCGCGAACACTTTCGTCCCCGGACGCGTTTCCTTCGCGTTACCGGTTACCTCCGCGCGGGTTTACGCTGAAACGATCGCGTTTAACGTTGAGGAAGACGGGCTTTCTTCGCAGTGACGAAAGACAGCGAAGAGACCGGGAGGAGACCGTCGGTTTCTGATGAATCGAGGGTGCCATCGCGCGATTGAACGCGGAATTTACATACCCGTATTTTTTCACGGTAAATTTAGCGCCACGCCGCGTGTAATTAACGAGCGCAAGATAGCGCGACGTAATTAATGTTGCCATTAGCGGCGATGTCCACACCGCGCCGGAGTTTCTTCTTTCCGCGTCCCCGAGGAGAATCGCGCGGAGCACGAAGGAACCCGCGCTATAGTGCTAAGAGAGTAAGTAAACTTCCTGGAAATATATATATATATATTTCGAGGAAGTTTGTATATATATATACAGAGTGGTCCACTTAATTCGAACGTCTGAAATATTTCACTTGCTTTCGATGATGCGAAAAAATGATCAAGGAAAGAGTGGCACCATTCGAGGGAACAATTATAACGACAGGGAAGATTTTCTTCGAGGTCGTTTTTTTTTCAGAGATTTGAAGATCAAGGTAATTTTTTGAAATAGAATTACGTTTCTGTTTGTACGACTTTACAATCAATATCGACAGGAGTTCGGTGACTTATGATCTTTAAGTGATTTTGAACATGGAAAATTACGTATGTTCGAAGAAACGAGAAAAGTCAAACATTTATGCTCTTCGATATTAATACTTAAAGAATTATCTCGACCTTCAAATCTCTGGAAAAAGTGACCTTGAAGAAACTTTTTTGTCATCATAATTGCCCCCGTCGAGCGGTGCAACTTTTTCCTCGGACGTTTCTTCGTATCACTAAAGTGAAATATTCCAGACGCTCGATTTAAGCGGACCATCCCGTATATATGTGTAGCAAGGTATACTGTTATTAGCAATGATCTTACTTACCTTACTTATGCGCACAAGGATAACGGGCGGAGAAATATGCGACGAGATCTATCGCGCGTCGAAATCTCTGGAAATCAACTTGACATCATCGAATATCTCTCTCAGTGAGTCGACGTGGAGTCGTCGCGTTACCTCGTCACTACCGACGGTAAAAAACTTTGCGACGGCTGTCTGACGGATACCTCCCATGCACCAGACGCTCCAGATAAAGACAATCGTTTTATTATTGATATGTACATACAATAAATTTATTTACAAATAATACAATAAATTTTGACGTCGTAAGTTATTCGTTCTTGATGATATATGTTAACAAAATACTACGCTCTTACCGATTATTGTGCCGTGCTGATATTTGAAAACTCTTTTGGTCACGGAAGTTTCTTCGTTTCTCTTTCGTCACTCGCGTTATTTTTTCTTTTTTCTCTTTTTTTTTTTTCGTTTCGTCCACACGCTTCTTTTAATGTAAACGGTAAATGTTCTGGTTTTTACCCTGCACAAATATTTACCCAAGAAACGTTAACGACGTTTAGACGTAGGCAATTCGCGATTCTCTCTCTCGGTGATCGCGCTCCTCCCGTTTCATCATGCGTGTTGGGGTAAAGTGTTTCCTCTTTTTTTTTCCGTACTTCTCGTACTTACATAAACATTATATTAGCTATTACTAAAATTATAAAACAAATCGGCCATGCCTTGGTGTACGACGATCTTGAGTTCCCGTGGTGCATCGCGGCTGGATGTTCCTCTGCAACAGAAATTTTCATCGATTCGACACGATGCGGACGAAAGCACGTGGCACGATCGGTTTTCATATATCGTTTTATCGCGCTGCGGCGGAAACAGGATCTTGCGCGCGTTACATTCGAACGATGGGTGTCTGGTTTTTGGAAATTGGCCTTCTAAAGCCAGTTCTCAAGTTACGAACTGCGCGCTGCGAAATTTGCATTTATTCAGACGTCATCGCGAAAACGTACGAACGCGTCGAACTAATCGACACGCGGTCGATTCGACAAGATTGCTGTACGCGAAACTTAAGGTAGTAGTAGTATAAAGTGAGTTTTTTAAGAATTCGTTGATACTTGCATTATATAAATTTATATAATATAATTTGATTCTTGGCATAATTCGGAAAGGATTGATCATTCGAAAATTGAGATATTCACGACCGACATTTTTTATATATGTGTTCGTTGAGGTTAATGTCTTATTTATAATTTTTATTTTATAATTTTTAGTTTTTACAATTTTTTTAATTTTTACTATTTTTAATTCATTAAAAAGATGAGGCAATGAATTAAAAAGGTGTATCTTGCAAGGTTATTTTCCACCCCCTGTCACCAGGGGGGATGATGGATGACGACCAAGTGAAATTATTTTCTGAAAGGCGAAGGTTCAAACTACATATTTCAGTAATAAGATCTAGGCCGGAATCTACCTTCGTCATCGATAAAAAATTCTTTAAGTTAGATAAATTTGCTGCTTCTATACAGAAGAAGAGGAACGAAATGAGTTAACGCGTCGCTGAAAATACGGCGCGCTACTACTACCTTAAACGAGTATTCAGCCTTAAACGAGTATTTGCGTCGTCTTCGACGCAACCGACGAGCGCCGCGTTTTTCCTCGAGAACCACCGATGGAAATTTTCCACACAGGCCCGAAACTAATGATGCGCCGGATCTGATCTAATCAGTTCAGGCTAAATTGCAGGCCATCGATATGCGGCGCGTTTGATAAACGTTCTTCTGCACGAATTGAGCACGACGGCGACTTTAACAAGGCGCGCCGCTATGACAAGCGACTGGCGATGAGAGCGTCCGAGTGTAAGCGCGAATTTTCAGGCGCGCCCCGTGTGTACACGACCCGTCCCCTCCTTTTTCCCCATTTTTTTTCCGTACCTCGCGCAGAGAAACAAACGAGCGTTGTTGCATGCAAAAATATTCGAAAAGGGACGCATTGTGCATCGAATGCGAAAAAAATTCGGGCGATACGTGTGTGCGCGAAAACGTATGACGTTGACACGATGACGATAACATATTATCCGCCGTACGTGCATATCGATGGACCATTGTATCCGGTCAAGCCGTCAGCTGTTGCTTTAAACAGTTAATGCTTCATGTTTGTAATTAATATGTCCACCCTCTGATTATATACGACACGCCGATCATCCGTCATGCATTGTGCGAGAGAATTTACGGACGAAAGCTGATTCGCTGATCAGCGACGCGTTACGAAATCGTGCGGACGATGCGTTTCGCTAATTATTATTACTCCCGTCGAATTATTCTTTCTTGTCGCCCCTTCATTTAAAGAAGGTAAAAGAGGGAGAAGGAGACTCTCCTTCGTATTCGCATCACGAATCTTCCGTCTCCTCGGATGCGGAATGACGGATCAGGCCGGCTCAGGCGCTAAATGAAAAAGTGTTACGTTCAGGGACGATAAAACAATTCGCGCAATCAACTTGTAAGCGTCGCGCGAAGTCGTATCGCGCGCTTGATTGCCGACAGCGCGAGAAATAAAACTCGTAAATTCCGCCCGCTTCAAAAATATATCGAGTTACGAGAATGGAACGGAAAAAGCACCGCCCTCCTTCGGGGACGGGGGGACCAAACAATCCGCTTCCGTTTGATTTCACTCCCCCNTTTCCCCCCCCCCCCCCCCCGCTCCGTCACCGGACGCGCCCGGAAATTGCGCGAGATTTTCGCGCGAAAATCAGACTTTGAGAATCGTTCTCGTCGTCGCGAATCGACGCGCTCCGCGCGGCACGCTACGCCGTCGCGTACGGGATGAGAGAAATGAGGGGGGTGAGTAAGAAAAAAGGGAAGAAGAAGGGAAGAAAGAGGAGAAAGAGAGAGAGAGAGAGAGAGAGAGAGAGAGAGAGAGGAATGAAAGAAAGGAAGAAAGAAGCGAGCTTTCGAAATCAGGCGCCGCCGCACTTCGCAGCTGCACGTACAAAAGATCTATTCACGGTGTATTCCCGCCGCCTGAGCAATCGACTCGCCGCAACCATCGATTTCAAGCTTAACGCGCGCGACTTGCCGGCCGTATTCGAAAGCACGCGCGAAATTTACAGAGAAGTCAATCAACGTTACTTCTCCGCGGCGCTCTGTTTCTATCTCCCTCTCTCTTTCTCTCTCTCTCTCTCTCTCTCTCTTTCTTCTTCTCGCGAGACGCGACAGACGGCTATTTCTCCCCGATTCGTTGTAATTGCGGTAAAACCGCTCGGATCTCGAATTCTTTTTTTTTCAATTTATCGGAAGCCGGCAAACTGCTGCTGCTGGTCAGAAATTGGGGAAAAAAAAGTTTCCTGTCGACGCTCAGTGCAAAATTGAAAAAAAATAGAGAGAGAGAGAGAGAGAGAGAGAGAGAGAGAGAGGAGGAAAGAGGCAGAGCGCAAATAGGGTTTCGCCGAAAAATAATAACCGTTTTTACAGTAATACGATGTGCAAATAGCGCGCGCGCACGTAAGTAAATTTCAACTCACCGTTAACAACGTGCACCTTTATTGTACTGGGATTCGCGTTGCTCGGCTCGCACGTGTACCGACCGGAATCGCTCGGCACGGCTTTCTGGATCATCAAGCGACTCGTTGTTTCGGGGCCTTTCTCCGTGACGAGACTGATGCCGCCGCGCGGCGAGTCGAAATTGATAACCTGGACAAAATCACAGCGTATCGGCGTTTTCGTTACGAAGGGTCGTGCGACAGTGTGTGCGCGCAGGCGACACACTGCCACGAATAATTGAAAGTGACACACATGTACATATGCACACACACACATATATGTACGTGTGTACGCGCGTATACGCACGGAGTAGCGCAGGCACGAGAGCCAGTCCAACGGAGAGATATTAAATATACATGCTGTAAACGCGCGGTCGTAATATTCGCTGTAATAGTAATGTCATTGTCGAGAAGTGAGTTAATGCGATTAACCTTTCGGCTGAATTATAGATTAGATAAAGCCGGAGTTGGGCTTGAAGAGCTGCAGCGAAGGGAAGTTCGTTAGTGATCTATGAGTTCTTTTCTGCACTACCGAAACGTGGTGCGCATCTGATAAGCCGATCGATGCGTGTTTTGCGAAACGTTCGATATTCGATGTAGAGTCGGATTCATAGCGCGCGATCGGTGTATGATTTTACGTCACAAGTGAATTGATTCTTTTTTGCTGAAAATTTACATGCGAATGTAAACATTGGGACTACACGTATTGTTCTTAATAATAATTTAATTTAATAAATAATATTTAATTTAAGAAAGAGTAAATAATAGTGCTATGTTAGGACTAGACGTAAATTATGCGAGCGTATTTTGCAAAGCGTGATCCTAAATAATTCATTATTTTTCAAACAATGCGTGTTGCCATTTTATGAAAAAAAGGTGAAAAATAAACTACTTTTGATAATATTATAACAAAAATACTTTTTTTCCATAGAAACACCTATTTTCAACACTTGCTTTCTCAAGCTCAAAATGCCCTCTTTTTCAGTGATAAAAAAATTTTTTTCAAACGCACTCTTCGAACTGCGTGTTTTTCAAACTAACATCATTTTTTCTGTTATAACTATTTTTCAACTTTGTCGTTCTACAGTTGCAGATCGAAATAATCAAAAGTAAAGGAATTACGATTTTTTAAATAAAATAGTACCATTCGCGAGGCCGCTGTTTAAATTCGAATTTTTTTCAGTAACTTAAAACTTGATTTTCTACACGGGGAACTCTTCGAGTTACGAGAAAGAAATGATAGCTTCGGGGAGGAATGCTCCCCGTAATACCGTAATACCGGAAATAAAGACTAACTCTCTTCCTCTTTTTGATTCGCGTCGCCTAATATCGAACACGCAGGCGCGCGCGACGCCGTATGCGTCTCATCCGCAATCATTCTCTCAAAGACGCCGCCGTCCGTTTCCTTACATTTCCCCCGGAATCCCCGTTCTTTCCGACAACGCAATGACGCTCTTTTGGCGGAAGATAAAAGGCGCCTTTCTCCGAGAGCACGAACTGAAGAATAGCACAGGGAGCGTACATATACGTATTTCTTTCGTATTCCCTTTGAGCAGACGCGTATATAACGGCACAGCTCGCGCGCGCGGAACGTAAAATATCCACCCGCCTTTCCTTCGGCTCGGTTTTGTTTTCATTTCCCCCGTTCGAAACTTGCTACCGTGCCGGGGAATCGTTTCGGCCGCGCATCGCCTTACGGAATAAATGCTTATCCGCGAATCGAAAAGCCGGCGGGAATTAATAGGAAAATAATTTCGTTCCTTGCCGGCGCGGCTGTGCGCGCACGCGCGCGGCCGATCTTCTATTTCGCGCTTTACTTTGATCAACGTGCACGATAGTACCTTGTGAAAATTGCGTTACCTGCCGTTTCATTCTAGTAAAAGCGCACGGCCGGGGCGAGCCATGTATCTACGATATATATCCGGCGGCCGATGGCGTAGCGATCTATCGGCAATCGGTCGAGAAATTACTTTTTATTTTATTTTCTTTCTTTTTTTCATCGACGCTCGTGCGCGAGTTTTTAATACGCGTGCCGCGCGCGTACCGAGCGTCTCATTAGCGCGTGCGGAATAATCTCCGCTCAGCCGAGATCAAAAGCGGAATTACAAATATTGGCTCGCAGAGGGGAATTTTTAAATTATCCCTCATCGTGATAGAGAACGACGCAACGCAATGCGACGCCGCAAAAATGTTCCGTCGCCCGGCGTATCGTTTTAGCGGCGTCGATATTAATTTATTTCCCGCGGCGTAAGCTCTTCTTTGTGCGTTCTGGGAGATTGCGAAATTTACGACGACCCTTGTTACACACAATGGCCGGTGTTAAGTGCGAGACGTATTTTCTTCCGCGCTGAGAAAGCACGCGTCGATAGACAGCGTTGATTGTGTACGTTTTTACTCGACGGGAGAGACTTAAAGAACGGCGATTACACCAATTTGCGGTGTCGTAAGCCACAGGTTCGCGGAGAAATGTGAAGGAATACGAGATGGAAGGTCGTATCGAAATGCGGAATTTCGGATAATTTACACAGTTAAAAAATTTCGTGTTAATTTTCATACAATTTTTCACATGTCCTAAACGTTGTCTGTAAAAATTTTCCCGTTGATTTAACACAAGATGAATATGTCGAAAAGTAATACAAATATTGTGTAAAAAATTAACACGAAATTAATACGTTGGTCGACATTGAAAATATAAAATGTGTTATTTTAACATTTACATATATTGAATATCGAGACTCAACACAAAATACATATATCGGGACAATGTAAATACATGCAAAGAAAACAATTTTGCAAGAACAGCAATTGTGTTATTATAGCAATAGAAAAAAAAATTTGTTTGAACAGCCGAAAGATTTATTAAAAGTATTAATTGCTATTTGCTGGATATATGGATAGCAAAATAATTTGGTTATGCCAACTAAATTTTATCGCTGACGCAACAAGACAATTTTCCTACAACAGCAAAATTACATTTTCCGTGTAACAAATTTTTTTGCTGTCACTATATTAACAAACAATTTGCTGTTCCAGTAAAATTTGTCTTCTCTGTGCAATATGTTATTATTAATGCACGGGTATGTTGAGAGTTTTAACAAGAACCGATTTTAACACAAGTACAAAATATTGTTTACTATATAGTAGATCCTTGCGAGGATTTTTCTCAAACTGAAGAAATGTTAGTTCCTAATTTAAAGAATTGGAAATCTGACGTGCTAGATTGAGATGAAAATCCCGTTGAATTACTTTTAAAGCGAATATTATCAACCGGTCTATTCTATCAGCAGCCAGTTATACACATACGCCGAATTACGGTCACAAAAATAACTCATCGTAGACCAAGTTTTCGTCACTCCTTTTTATTCAAGCTTTAGTCGAGATCCATCATAAAATGTTTACCGTGACCGAAACTTAGAATTGAATCTTTCCCTCGTTAAAAAGAATTTAGAGCGGTTCCTCGTGTCTGCGGCGAATCTCCGTGGAAAACTCGAGATCCTCGAGTGGTCTATTCGCGGGATCGACATACTCACATCACTGTTATGACTCCAAACCATCATCGGGGGTGGTTCGGGAGCGAATCTTACGATGCACGTCAGGTTGATGGTGCTGCCCTTATTGACGAAGAGGTCCGGTCCTCCGACTATAACGGTTACCGGTTCTAGAACAAGAACGACATCCGACTTGAGCCGCTTGTGACTACTTGACGGTCGTGTGCAGGCAGCTCGGTTAAACGACCGTAGCCGCCTCATATCAATCTCGTCGTATATTCGATATTTTTATCGCGACACACAGCGCACCGCGTCTCTATGACCTACGCAGAACAAGCTTTTGGGTCAAGCCGTGTCGATAAGATCCTCTCTCCTCTCTTTGCCTGCACGACTTGCTTAAAGTATCACGACGGTCACTAAAGATATATCTTCATGGATATATTATAATATGACCTCATACACGCTCCAGTTGAGTGTAAATGTGCGGAGCACGCAGGAGGCGGCCTGCCGTCCTTTCAGAGACGCTTACTGGGTACCTCCCGGAGGAGCCGCTGCCGTTATATTCTGTACATTTGAAAGTTAAATGGATTTTTGAAACTTCAACGTTGCGATCCGGTGTTACGGAGAATCTTAATTAAGGAGTTAAGTCATGCAAGCTCCTCGTTCATTATATTCTCCTGATACGATTCTGTGAAAATTTCGCAGCATCCGGAATCTATCGGAGTTTGGTTTGGTATCAGGAGAACATGATCAGTGAGAAGGTTAAGGAGTTGAGTCACGCAGGTTCCTCGCTCGTTATGTTCTCCTGATACGATTCTGCGAGAATTACGCAGGATCCGGAATCCATCGGAGTTTAGTTTGCTATTAGGAGAACGTGATCAGCGAGAAGGTGAAGAGGTTAAGTCATGCCAGCTCCTCGCCCGTTATATTCGCCTGATACGATTCTGCGAGAATTACGCAGCATCCGGAATCCATCGCAGTTTAGTTTGCTATTAGGAGAACATGATCAGCGAGAAGGTGAAAGGGTTAAGTCATGCCNGTTATAGTCGCCTGATACGATTCTGCGAGAATTACGCAGCATCCGGAATCTATCGGAGTTTAGTTTGCTATTAGGTGAACATGATCAGCGAGAAGTTTAAGCATTAATGTTAAAGCGTTTTATTAGCTGGGAGATAATAGAAAAACAATACGCCGTCCGATCCGGGTTTTCTTTAAATGGAGAAGTGATATTAATCTTCTAAGGTTTAATATTAGGTCTAGTAAAAAGTAATCCATTATTTTTCCAATAGAGGACTTTACTAATCTGTATCTCGCGTTGTATAAGTCCGATCGGATTACGCCAGATGGCGTTAGAAAGATAAGATTTCGTACTAAAAAAACCTCTCAGACAGTTTTGTGATTGCTTGACTCAATATTGTTTGAGCGCGCGTCAAATATGGACACCAGCAAAGAGAAAATACGCCATATTTTACAATTTTTCTTCGATAAAGGCGAAAACGCAAGCCAGGCGGCTAAACATGAGAATAGTGTTTATGGTCCTGATACTGTAAGAGCCAATCAGGCGCAATTTTGGTTTCGACGATTCAGTTCCGGTAATTTTGATGTCAAAGATGCACCACGCTCCGGGAGGCCAATTGTCGAAAATGTTGATAAAATAATGGAAATCGTCGAGTCCGACCGTCATGTAAGCACCGTTTCGATTGCCAGGGAGCTAAACATTGCACAAAAAACCGTTTGGAACCATTTAAATAAGGCTGGATTCAAAAAGAAGCTCGATGTGTGGGTGCCACACGAGTTAACGTGAAAAAACCTCATGGATCAAATTTCCTTCCGCGAATCGCTGCTGAATCGCAACAAAATCGATCCAAGCGGATGGTTACTGGTGATGAAAAGTGGGTCAATTACGACAACGTCAAGCGAACACGATCGTGGTCGAATCGCGATGAGCCGGCGCAAATGGTGGCCAAGCCATGGTTGACGGTCAGGAAGATTTTGCTGTGTATTTGGTGGGATTGGCAGGGAATTATCTACTATGAGCTGCTCCCCTACGGCCAAACTCTTAATTCGGACCTGTACTGTCAACAATTGGACCGTCTGAAGGAAGCAATCGCCCAGAAGCGGCCAGCTTTGGCCAATAGGAGAGGAATTGTGTTCCATCAGGATAACGCCAGGCCACACTCATCGATAGTGACTCGCCAGAAGCTCTGGGAGCTTGGTTGGAAGATTCTTTTGCATCCACCTTATAGTCCGGACCTGGCACCACGTGATTACCACCTGTTCCTGTCTATGGCGAATTTTTTGGCTAGTGAAAAATTCGCCTCAAGAGAAGCTTGTGAAAATCGACATTCCCAGTTTTTTACCAATAGGGACGAGGGTTTCTATGAGAGAGGCATAATGAAATTACCTTCGAAATAGCAACAAGTTATCGAACAAAACGGTGCATATTTGACCTAAATCGGATCATTGTAACTATGTTAAATAAAGCCTCCAATTTGATACAAAAATAATGGATTACTTTTTACTAGACCTTATATATATAATAATACACATTAACTTTGGGCCTTCCCTAAATTTCATCTATTGGTAAGATAATAATTCTATCAATATAATATTATCAATCCATCCTAAGTAAAGCTATATTTTTCGTCCTAATCCATGAAAGTGTCTTTCTAGCTAAAACCAACACATGTAATCGCATGTGAAGCAATGTCGTCGGTCGGATTTATATAAAGTTATTTGTGAAAAAACACAAATATATCCCTATTTATGAAAATTTTTCCTGATGTTCTTGATGAACGATTATATTATAAACAAGCGGAAAATCATTATTTTTTTAAATAAAACAATTTTAAGATTTTCTCATTAGTATATCTTAAACGCCCAATATACGTAATTATGTATATTAGATAACCCAAAAAAATCGTGTGATTTTCGTTAGAGTTCGTTGCAGTGACTTGTTTTATTTTATAGTGGTTGCAATAGTTTGCAGAGTTCAATGTTTTAAGTGCGTCATAAAGCACAGATACGCGCCAGTCAATCGGTCCGCTTTAATTTAGTGTTACTTTTTTTTGTAGCTGTATAATTTCTATTATGAAAAACCGCACGAACTTTTTTGATTACCTGATATATTCAGAAGATCGTACTTCTCAGGGGCCAATTTTATTCGGACGAGAAAATGTTCATCAGAAACGTCACGAAAGTTTAAAATCGATGATTTTTCGACTCCGTGCGTTTAATTCTTGGGAAGAAAATACCGGGAGAAGAAAGACCACGAATTTCAGCGTTGACTAAATTCGTCGAGGGTCAAACGAAGATTCTTCCCTTCGTATGTAACTATTATTTGCACGATGTTTATATCATGCGAAGAACACTCTCTCTCTTTTCAGCTGGCGAGTGTAACTTCCCAAGTTACATTACATCCGGAGAAACGTTTGAGTCGGACTCTCGCGACGTTACCGGGGAATTTATATCGCTCCAAACATACAAATACGTCTTCTAACGAAGTAAAGCACGATTTCCAAGTTTCGCAGGCGAAGTGAAAACTTACCCCCGAGGAAATTAGAAGTTCGCGACTTTCGCAGGTAAGATCGTTAGCGGGAACAATCGCGTGCGCGCAGGTGGAAACGTACGCTCTTCGTTTACGACGACCGCCGGTAATTTCAGGACTGAAACGCTTCTTGCGGAACGTGGTGTAATTTCTCTTCGGAAGTGCATTAATACATCATGAGAGAATCAATTCTCTTACCGACTATGGTTAGGTACACGGGGTGACCGATGGGCGGGGTCGTTGATATTTGGCACTCATAAATCCCGGAGTCCTTCCGCTGAGGATATCGTATCCTCAAGGTCCAGTCCTCCGTATGAGGATAGTGTAGTGCCTCGAAACGTTGATCGCTGGTGTAGGTGTAACGACCAACCGTTAGCAGATGTATGTCCCGATGCCTGACCCAGGAAACCTGGAAAGAAAAAGGGTTTCCCTCCTCACATTTGCCATTTCACATCGCACGATCGATTACCAATTACTCGCGACGAGTCTCGCAATTCTTTCTTATAACCGATCAGATTCAATGAGAAGGCAATGCTGTAAAACTCGTTACGTTGGCGACTGATCATGTCGACGAATCTAGGACGCGCCCTTTATGGGACAAAATTAAGGTAGTTGTAGCATGAGTTCTTTTTTTTCAGAATTCGTTGAAACTTGTATCATATACAGATTTTAGGTATGACCTAATTTATTATTGGCGCAATTATAAGTAGATTGGTGATTCGGAAGCCGAGATATTTGTAACTAAAAATGACACTTTTCACACGCACTTCTTGAAATTAATGTCTTATTTTTAATTTCTATTTTTAATCTCTTCTAAAGCATATTTAAGATTTCAATGAAAAACTACAGTGACATTAACACGTTTCGTGCCGTTTTTACGCGATTTTCAATTCACTCCGCGTATACTGAAAACAGTGCGGAGATCGATAAATCCGTTATAAATGTTTGATATATTTTTTTTGCAAATTGGAGTTATTTATTATAAAAGTGAATATTTAAAGTATAACGTACATGGTAGAACAAAACAAATAGGTTTATTTCAAAATTAAAAAAATAAAGAATAATAAACGAGATATAGTAGAATAGAATACAATAAATTGAAGAAACTATAACTTATTATGAAACAAATAGAATATGACTTTTTTGAACATTTCGTATTTATAATCGACTGGTACGATGTACTTTATTAAAACAATCTATATATCGATACGGTTTGTTGGAACAATCCTCATAAAATATTGTTACTCGTTTTTTCTCACATTTTCGGTACCCAAATTTCGAACATTTTATATAACATAACAACTGAACATTCATGACAACGCCGGGGGTACCGAAATTGGATCATAATAACTGAAAATTTATCACCATACGAGAAAAAAATATTAAAAAATTTATTTGCCAAATATAAAATTTATTTCACAGAAATAAAAAGTTTATTTAAATACGGCGAAATAAAAGTTTATCCCTAGCAAATAAACAAATTAATAGGAAAGTTTAGGCATATTTCATAAAAATATAGATTGCGTCAAATGCGTCACGAATGCAAATCAAGTGAATAATTACGCGCATCTATATTTACAAGTTACACCATCTAACGTGATATTCCATGGTCTTTACTTCCCCTTACCTACCATCACAATCGTCATACGCTAATAGAACCCTCCTCCCCTCAAGGTGTAACGTAATTATTCAATGGCCCCTTATGTTTCCCAAATTAGAATTGTATATTTGAGCGCAAATATTTCTAACCAGAACCTGTGCGTGGATCTCTCAACTAGAATCCACAATTATTATGGGAAATCGGACGGTGGGATCCCAATTAAATCCTGAGAAGTTTTCTGTGCGGGAAGTAATTACGCGTAATAAGAAGCGCATCGGATTGCGTGCGTTATGGGACAAAGCAGGGCGCGTGATATAGATATACCGTTATAGGGTGAGGTGTCGCATAGGGCGCGACTATGCGAGCAACTAACACTATATATCCATACGGCTGTCGATATCAGGCGCCGCCGTCTGTCAGCGTATTTATCTATCTTACGGGCAAAGTCCCGCGGTTCCCATAACGCATTGTTTGATACATAGAAATTGAAAGCTTATTTGCTCGCGCGGCACCGCGTCGTCGCCGCCGTCGTTCACCGCTGTTGAATTTTTACTATTAAATACGTCGACAGCACGTCGTAAACTGAACGGAGCTGCTTCACCCGGAGACAAACCACCGCCCGGGCGAGCCTCCGGCGTTGGTAACGACATTACGTGGAGTTTAGTCGATACAGATCCACGAATTCCGACAGGAGGAGAGAGAGAGAGAGAACGCATGCTGAAAAGCTGAATACGCGAATAATAATGAGGTTCTCAAGATAAGCAGCGTGCTCGAGTATGGAACGATGTTACGTAATTGTAGAGAAGGTCAACGAATCGTTCATTGAAATTTCAATTTGTCACTGCGCTGTTGCCTCATGTATTGCACACGCGCGAATAAACGATAGCAAAATAATTAACTACTGCCTGTTCAAATAATTAATTATTCCCTGTCCTTTAATTCCGGATGATATTAGCGCGACCCCATCGCCACACCGGCCGAATCGATCGCGTTAACGCGCTCTGTATGTATGTGTGTGTGTGTGAGAAAGAGAGAAGGAGTATCAGGAATTTTCATCTCATCTTTCGCATGTTTTCTTTCTTACATGGAGAAAAAGGTTCTTTTAGATTTAATATTTCTATTTATTTGACTAAAATTTGTTAGAATAGAAATAACATATACGAAATATTATTTGTTTGAGTAAATATTGTATTGTCTCATTCAAGAAAATGATTTAATAATTTAACTTCTATTATTTAACAGAAAGAACGCTATTGTTTGAAATAATATCATTTAACCGAATAAAATATTATTTGGTTACAATAAATATGTAAAATAAAATAATTTCTTTGTAAGAAAATTATCTCTCGTTTCAAATTTTTTTATTTAGGATACATATTCTGCAGATAATTGGAAAGTTTAACGATCGTACTTATTAATCGAAACATTGATTTTTCGGGGGCATGCCAATGATGAAATTTGTGTTTGGGTGCGATAAAATTGATTAAATTTGGGGAAATCTTTTTCTCAGCGTACACGCGGGCTGCGCATCGAGGACGATGCGTTCGCGGGATATATTTTTCGGGGCTGTCTGTTCCGATTACGCTCGCGCGAAAATCTTTCGAGTCGCCATTGGGAAAGGCGCTCCTTTCGCCGGTCCGTTCGAGCGTTATTCGTCGGTTGGGATAGATACATTTTTCCATGGCGGTGCTCCAAGAGCTTATCCGCCAGCAGCCGAGATAATTCAATCCGAAAGTTGTACAGGATGTTCATCTGGTCGTTCTTTTGACTTTATTTGCAGTAAAATAATATCGGCCGCTCGGTCCCCGCCTCGCGATCGCTGCGATCGACTAGTTCCGCTTTCAGCCATGTCCGCAATGCGCACTATCCTCCGGACGAGATCCCCTGATTCGTGCTTTTTACCTTTTAGCGAGGAATTCGAGCGAACGGGCGAGAGAACAGCGAGAAGATTTCGTCCGATCGGAAATACGACACCGAGACGGCCGTATCGTCGAGTAGAACTGAATGTAATTATTTGTGATTAATATTGACGCTGTATTAAAGTCTCCTTTACAATATTACAATTTTGTAATATCGTTACAACATCGTTGTTTTGCTTCGGAGAGGAAAACGTCAAACCCGGTGAAGTTTAATCTAGCTCAGTGCGCGTTCCTCTCTCTCTCTCTCTCTCTCTCTCCCTTTTTTGCTTTTATTTTACCTTTTTTTTTAGCAAGAGAGAGAGAGAGAGAGAGAGAGAGAGGTGAAAGTATTTGCGCGCGATCACACGGACTCGACAACGCGCTTTTCGGATCATTTTACGGAAGCTTCGATGTATTAACCGATCGCGGGGTGACGTCCTCTCGACGGGAGTGACGTCGCTATGGAGAGATTCGTTTTGTCCTGGCTCGTCCTGCATCCGGCACCTGCGCCAGCTGGAGCTCTCGAGATGACACGACCGTGTTATTGGCATTAGCGTTGCCGGCTGAAAGTCAAACAAAATCTATCCATCCTGACGCAAACGACGGGGGTTACCGGTGTGGCTGAAGAACGGGAACGAGGAAAACAGAGGCGCGCCGCAACTGTTGTACCCACGAGTGTGTGCGCGCGTCTAACACGCCGTGCGAATGCAAAATCGGCGTTTTCAAGTCGCCCGTAGAAAGCAATTCTACGGGAAGGGGAGGGTGGGGTGGGGGGAGGGGGATTCGGAATGGCGAGGGTGCTTTTTGGTCACGATTGTTTCATTGTGCCCGGTTTCGGCTGAATCGCGCCGTCTTCGCGCAGCTTCAACGTATACACACTCGTGTCCGATTTCACCATCGGTGACGAATAATCTAGGTTTACATAAACGTCAGTTAAAATGACGAACGTTGGTTTAAACTCGGTTTAGATGGCATCGCAGCCCATCGACTCTTGAAAAGTGTCATTTAAATAAACTTATATTCTACGCGATGAAACGTTTCCAATCATCGATGATTCGTTGATTNATGTAAGTTAATTACTACTTAATTAGTGATACGTATTGGTACGTGTATAGCAAATATTGATCTGTCATGTATGTATCAAGTGTATCTTATAAAAACAAATACATGAAAAATAGGCGCGAATGTTTCAAATATAGAGAAATGTTTATCGATCGAAATAATAATACAGTATAAAGATAAACTGAAAAATGAAAAACGGATGAAGTTTTTACAAAAGAGAAAGGGAAATTTAGGATAAAATGGGGAAAAAGGTTAATACAACAGCGGATTGAGTACATATTTCTTGATACATTATATATATAGACTATATTCCAATGTTCACTGTAAGTACTGGAAATATGATATGTATACAACTTGAGTTATAGATTTGCAGTACTGATAAGTATCTTTCTGAACATAGCCACACGATAGTATAAAGAGAAATATATATTAAATAGATTTCTAATAATAACAGATAAACTTTTTTTTATCAATAACAAATGAATTGCTCGTTTTCAACTTTTCTGACGTTAGATTTTTTACGCAAAATGAACAGAGGAATCGATTTTCGTTAAAAAGTTGTACAATTTCATTTAAAGAAGTGAAATCGACCTTGAAATATCTTCAACGCCTCTATTCATAAAATAATCGTTTTCATTATAATATGTCCCTCTTTGTACTGAACGTGTCAGTATAAACTATTTTTTCACATCTTAAAATTTTGTTAACAATGAAATCGGTCACTTTAAACGAATCACCTTGTATGTGGTATAATCAGAGAGAGAGAAAGAGAGAGAGAGAGAGAGAGAGAGAGAACACAGCTAATGAATCTTAGCCGCTTATGCTAATATAATTTCAGCTAATAAAGTT